CTCCGCTACAGGTGTTTGCAGTGCGCGACAGTCCGCGCCCTTGTCGTGCTTTTGTGGGACAGGTCGCAGCACAATGCTCCCGCGGGAGCACGTGTTGCTGCGCTGGGAGACGCTGCGCCGCCACAACATCCCGCTCGGAGAGCCGCTCTACGCCCGGCCGCTCGACGGCTCCGGGCAGCCACGGCGGGTCCTCGCTTGGGCGGGCCGCAAGCTGCAACCAGCGTCCCAGTCAACCACCGCGGGTGTGCACCGCTCCCACGGCGAGTCTGGCGTCGAGCTATGGGTCGGCCAGGCGACGACGCGAAGCGAGCCGCGTGCCTACCTGCACCAGCCTCGCGATGATGCCGCCGCCGCCAAGCCACGGGATGCGACGAGCGACGGGTTGGGCGAGGGCTCGGCCGTCGACGATGAGCTGCTCGCGCTCGCCGAGCTCCCGCTGCACGCGCCGCACGTCTTTCGCGAGTGGGGCGTGCCCGCTCCCAGAGGCATCCTCGTGCACGGCCCCGCCGGCGCAGGGATCGGGGCGAGGCTGAGCCGTGCACTGGACGCGCACTACGTGCACGTGTCGGCAGGTGGGCTCGCGCCCCACGCCCTATGGCACTCCCGCCCGCCGGAGCCACGCCGCGAATCGCGCCCGCGTAAGCCATCCGCACACCGCTGCTTCCCACCTCGCCTCCCGCCACTCGCCCTCCCCCGCTTCCCGCGCCGCAGGCGACCTGGCTGGCGGCGTCCGGCGCCGTGGAGAGGAGGCGCGAGCAGCCTCCCTTCACAGCTCACCCTGTGAGCAGGAGACCTCGCCTCGCGGCAGGGGGCTGGAGCGGAGGAGAGGCTCGCTCAGGCGTTTGCGGAGGCAAGCCCCGCCGCCGCTCCTCTTCCTTGCGGTGGAGAGAGCGGCTTCACGGCTCGTGCGGTAGATAGGCGCGCGAGCGCACGCCTTCGGTCCTCTTCATCGAGGATCCCGCGCCCTAGATGCGGCCGCATCTCGACTACATCTCCCCACATCTCCCCACATCTCGAGCCCTAGATGCGGACTCCACTCCCCAGAGCGGCCACTCGTCACGACACTCGCTTGCACTGCCCTCGCCTGCACTGCCCTCGGCTGCACTGCCCGTGCTCCTGACTTGGCCGCTGTGTTCGTAGCCCTCGCGTGTGCGTTGTCCTCGTAGCCCGTGCATCCACTGCACGATGGTCGCATCTCTCTCGCGTAAGCTCACGTCAATCTCCGCCAACCTCGGGCAATCGGGAGCTGGAGCTCCTCGGCGCGACAGCCGCAATCTACGCAACAGGACACGGAATCACACGTGCGCTAGGAGCTCGAGCTCATCGGCGGGGCGAGGGATGCCGCCGCCGCCGCCGCCGCCGCCGCCCGGCGGCTGCTCGCCTGCCTGCTGCTGCAGATGGAGGGCTTGCGCGAAGGGAGCATCGTCCTTGCTACCACCGCAGCGGCAGAAGCGATCGACCCGGCGCTGCGGCGGCCAGGAGCGACGCCGCTTTCCTCCCGCACCATCTCCGCCGCCAAGCCAGCCCCCGCCCTCGCCGCCGCCGCCCTGACCCGACCCATCGCCAACCCCGCCTCTGTCGCCTGCTACGCCGGAGCCGTCTCCCCCACGCGCTCGCCCGTAGACCGTAGACCGCCCCCCACGGCCCACCACAACAGGGCTGGGTACCGCCCTCAGGGTGGGTGCAGGCGGCTGCTCACGCCGTGGCGCTCGGACTCGCGCGCAGGCCGGTTCGACTGCGAGGTGGAGGCGGCGGTGCCGGACGAGGCGGAAAGGCGGCGGCTGCTCGACGCGCTCCTCGCCGCGGTGCCGCACTCCCTCACCGACTCGCAGCTCTCCAGGTAGCGAGGTCTAGCCGAGACCTGGCACCTGGCCCGAGGCGTGGCCCGAGATCGCGTCGACTGCCGCCTCCACCTGCGTGCCGCCTCCACCTGCCGAGATCGCGTCGAC